CAGGGCCCCGGCCCCCCACGGACATCCTCACCTGGGCGTGAATAAGTTTGTTGACCTGCTTCCTGACGCCCCCTGTGAAGTTCTCGAAGGTGGGATCGGCCACGTACTCGAAGGCCCCAGCCTCGGTCCTGAGCAGGGCCCGATGCCCATCCATCTGAATGAGCGCGGTGAGGTTGTAGGCCTCGGGCTCCTCGGGGACAGCCGGGGACAAGAACACGATCCTGGAGTCGTTGTAGCGCACGTACTCCGTGCCCACGACCTGCGGGGCGAGGCCAGGCCGTCAGGCCCCTCGGCACAGGCCCCGTCCTTCCCCGCCTGGTCTCCAGCGGCCGGGGCTGGATCTGGGCCCCGGCGGGCGGCAGGACTGACCGTCTGGGCCTGCAGGGGTCCAGCCTCCCGCCGCCGGCGCTGCCAGGACTGTAGGGGCTCGGCGATGACCACCATGGAGAAGTTCTGGATCATGCTGAAGCCCTGCCCGGTCACGTTGATGCTGCGGCCGCCACTGGGGGTGGGGGGTGCCTGAGTGGGCACAACTGGGCAAGGGAGGTACCCAGCCAGCTCCAGAGCAGGTGCCCCGCGGAGCTGGATCCCCCGCCCCCGTGCTGGCCACGTGGTGGGCTTGGGGAGGGCGGGGTGGAAGTCCCTGACCAAGCTGGTTTTGGGTGCACACACGGGTCTCTGTGAGCACCTGCCTGCCGTAGGGGGGGCATGCTCAAAGCACGTGTGGCACTGAGCACTGCCATCCTGGAGGGTCACTGGGCTAGGGGGCCGTGGGGCTGGCCTGTCAGGCTTTCTAGGGGGAAGCTGATCTGGGGGTACAGTGGGGTTTAACAGAAGCTTCCTCCTGCCACCCAAACCAGCCCCGCCACATCCTCACCAACCAGTGGACATGGGGTGCTTGGGAAGTAGCTAGGGGTGGGGGTGGCATGGGGTGCCTGGGTGGGCAGTGGGTGGGGCAGGTGGGGCACCAACCAGGAAGGCAGAGAGGCCACACCTGGCAAAGCTCCGCAGGGGCTCGAAGGACCGCAGCACTGGATTCTCACAATAAGTGAAGGTGATTCCGGGGCTGGACACTCGGGAGCCCCCATAGTAGATCTCCAAGGGCAGCTCCCCCACAGACTCCTGGGGGCCAGTGACACACTGGAGCTGCGCTCCAAACTGCGTCCTGGATGTGAGGGTTGCCGGTCAGTGTCCATCCCAGCCCTGGGACTGACCTCTGCCCTGGGCTACGGGTCAGTGGGTCAGGTTGATGGCACTGCTCCCTCCAGGACACACTCAGGGTCAGGGCCGGAACACCCCCACCCCCACC